GGGGAAGCCAACGGCCCTCCGCAGTGCTCAGCAGAGCGGCAGCCTCCCAGACCTTCGGCCTCGCGCTCGCCCGCCGAGCGGACCCCCTCCTCCACGCCGGGTGGCACAGTCTGCAGAGCGTCGGGGCGGGCCTAGGGCCCAGGCCGGTCCACTCAGCCCCGCGGAGGGGGAGGGAACCCGTGCACCGAGGGTGGGGCCACCTCCCACGGGGGCGGGGCGAAGGCACAGTCCACCACTTAAGAGCCCACTTCCTCCCAGCCATCCCAGACTCAGCAGCCCAGGCTGAGTTTATACGAAGTTTTCTTCCCCGTGCCCCAAGGAAATGGGAGAAGACGTATTGTCTCCTTGTGAAGCCCTGTCACGCAAGCCCCTGGTCACGAACCTCCAACAGCAATAACACAATGGACTGTTTAAAGGTTATTTTATTAAATATCTTCAAGGTTCCATTGTAACAAAGCTAGGAAGGGACTACCAACATTCAGAACAAACACTAATTTTTAAATTATTTCTAAGTCATCATGCAAAAGTTCTGCATCAAATGCCTTCCATTTCCTGTTTAAAAGGTGGTTTGTTTGTTTTCTTTTTTTAAATAGTCTATTAATAGTCTATAGATGCTGACATTAGCCCCAGAAGTGGAGTAAGAACGCTAAGAAGTGGGGCTGGAGCAGCCATATGAAGCTATGGGTCTCAATGAGCTCTAAGACCATTTGTTGTCTTCAAGCCAGCAAAACCAAACCCTGTGGTGAAGGGATCTGTAGGCTGGCACTGCAGGCTGCAGGGCAGAAAGGGGCTAGGGTCCAGGGTCTGAGGCATGCAGAAGGTGCTTGAGGAGCCTGGCTAAATTCAAGCACCAGCACCCATGAGCTTGTTCTCTTCTCAGCTGGTTCCAAAGCCTGTAGTTCTTTTTCCCAGCTTCCTGAAGGTCATCCAGGGAGCTGAAACCTATCCCCCCACACATGCAGATACTATGCAGTTGTTTGATGGGGTGGGGGTGGGGGAACAAGACCAAGCCAATTGCTCCTCCATTATCTTGTGTTATCTGCTTAGGGTACAGATCTTTTCTTCCTGGAATGGAACTCCTTGAGCACAGAGGGACAATGAATGTAGAAGCCTTGGCTCTGGACCCCTTTTTTTGGGTACATGCAGGTGAGGGGGTGATGCCCATGCAGATTGTCCAGCAGGAAGTCTATACTTTTCAGGTGGTCAGTAAAGAGGCCTCTTTAGGGAGGACACTCCTCACCCAAGCAGTCAGTTCAACCTCAAACACAGGGAAAGAGATGGACGTGCAGTATGGGAAGAAGGGAGGCAGCCCAGAGGGCAGCCAGAATGCATAGAAATCACCACCGGCTCTCATCCCACTGCCTCACTCCTCCCACCCCACAGGGGCACTTGGCAGAGGGCCCACGCCCAGATGAGGGTCAGCATGGGGACCACCATGAAAATACAAGACAAAGATGGTCCAGATCAGCACAGAAACAGAACTGCCAAAGTGGCAAAAGGAGCCTGGGCCAAGGTTTGGATCTCTCCTTACTAAGTTAGGAAAGCCAACAGGAAGCAGAGTAGCAACCCCTTCCCCTTCCCATCTGCAGCAATCAGGCCTCAGTATCAGGGCCCACGTGCATTGTGCATCCTAAAGAGATGGATGAGTGAGTGCATGTCAGACTAACACGAGGTTTCTCAGCGGCTTCATGGCGGACACACTTCTGCAGCACCAATTCTCTTTCTGTCTACATTAACTGGAACAGCACAGCAAAGTCCAGGCCTTCAGTCCTGAGGCCACTGCTTCTTAGCTGCCTCCACAGCAAGCAGGCTGGGAGCGCTGCATTTTCTCCCAAGTAGGTCTGATAGCCACGGCATTTTCTTCCGTATCATTCTAGGTGTCAATGCATGTTCTGAAGAAGTCCACTTCTAGACCTGGGGTAATCAGGCCACTCTGGGGCTGCAACCACACCATGGCTCCCAAAGCTCTGTCAAGAGTCCTTGCCTGGTCCCCCTGAGTTCATGGGGGCCTGAAGCCAAGCTCACCCTTTCAAAGCTGGTGGGTGAGCCCATTGTTCATGCCTGGATGAGCGTCACACAAACTCCTGCCTTCTCGCAAGCCCAAGGGCTATCAGTTGTTTTAAAACTCATCACGGTACGAATTCCTTTTTTTTTTTTTTAAACAACCTTTTTTTCTTAAATGTAAAAAACACCTCGGTACAGCAGAGACAGACACGAAGGGCGGGCGGGCGGGCTGCATGCAGGGGTGTCCATTGGCTGCTGCCGCTTTGTAATTTAATTGTTTTAAACCTCAAACGAACAGGACTGCCGCTGTCACTCAGGCCCTCCAGAGTCACTGGCTGTGAAGGTTCAACATCCAGCTGGAATCTCCTAATGCCCCTGTTAAAACAGAACAAAAGGTGGTAACAGAACAGAGAAGGACGATGAGAACACAGGTAAAATCCCCGAGATTTTTAATACACCACGCACATGGCTAAGTCTACTTGAACAAGCAAACAATGGGAGGAGCTGCTGATGTTTAAACACAGCATCGCCTCACATTTTGAGTGTTTTATATGTATAGTATCTTACTCCATCCCCACAATTAATTCATCCTGGAATGGAGGCAGGTGTCACTTTATCCCTCTTTTGATAACTAAAGTAACAGAGGCTTAGTAAGGGGAAGACCACATGCACCAAGTGTGGAGTCTGTCTGGTTACAGAGCAGAGTTCATCAAAAGGACTCTGCCCAGTCTTTGCCACCCCTGAGATGGCCTCCATCTCCTCCCAGAGTGCTACCGCTTACCCTTCTCTTCCTCCTCTGAACCCCACCTGTCCCAAGTCACCTCTCCCCTGCCCAGTCCCTTCTCCCCACCAGGTGCACCTGTGGCTGAGCTCACTGCAGCGGTGCGGCAGGGGCCCCTGAGCAGTGATAGTGGACATTGAGCCACCTGCCATCCCGGCGGTGCCACACCCGGGTCTCCTCTGACTGGCTGGTGCGAGGCCGACCCTGCCCATCGATGTACTGGGTGAGCCGGATATAGGCGATGCAAGCTGCGTCCTCCCCAATCACGTGGACGTGCGGGTTTAGGATGGTGGTATGGATGGGCTTGCTGTTCTTAGACAGGACTACAGGAGGCAGGGCAGGGAAGGGGAGGGGAGGTAGTAGGCGTAAGGCTTGGGTACTCACATATTCCTGCCAGGCTGCACCTCCTTTACTCTAGCTCCAGCAGCCATTCCTAGAATCCCCCACATGCCCCCCGGAGGCCAAGATCCTCCATTACATTAGTTTCATACAAAAGGAAAAGAAATGTGAGTAACAGTAACAGCAACTACTCTTTTCATTGGGTATTCTTCGGAGGCTTTACATGCAAGAGATGTTATTTGTTCACTGCTATTATTTTCTTCACTATAAGAAGGAAAATGATTCAAATCAAATACAATATTTAAAATCAGGACCATGTGGCTCTAATAAAAAGCTTGTGGTTTTTCTACTTGGTCAGGCTGATGTTTAAAAGTTCTAAGCTTATTCTGCACCAATCTAAGGCTGAAGAGAAAAATCGTGAAAGCAATACATTCCAAATCATTTTGTGACTTAGAAAAGAAAAGGCTTATCGAAGTTTAAAATTCCCAAAGCACCCAGTACAGGATCTCCCCAACAATCCCAGGGTTCTCTGGGTTTGGAAAAGCAAAGAAAGTTGGACTGCCATAATCAGCATATGCCATGCATATGTTGATGCTGCCATTCAGACTTGGTTCAGTTCATTCCAATGCTACAGCGCTGCAAGAGACCTCCCTTAGAACTAATACAAACACTGTTTCTGGCTACTCAGAATTACTTAGATAGCTGAGGGATTACACAGGCAGCTAAGATGTGGAGGACACTTTTGGGAGTCAGTGAGGAAAATAGCTACAATGTAACACTCGGGGCAGGGTAAGAGCCGCCTTGGATAAAATGGACAAGAGGAGGGAAAAACGAGGAATGAGGGTCTCGGAAAGTAGAGAAAGAGACGGAGGGTGTGATGATTCAATTCCGGGACTTGTGGGAACTATTCGGACTGCATGTCTTCCCTGTCCAGATGCTTGGCTCTCTCCATGTCCAGGATAGCCTAGCCACAATTTCTGACCTCATGTAACAAAGTACTTTGTTACTTGCTTACACATTCTTATCCTGTTTTTAATTTCCTTTGTTGTGAACCCTGCAGACACAGACCTTTCATTATTACTTGCTGAGACCATCTTGACTTAATCTTCAAGAGTTTACAGTCTGTCTTGGAGAGAGGTGATGCTTAAAGGAATACAGTAACCCTAATGGTGATGATCAACAGTGCCTAGATACAGCTGCCAAATGAATGTGCACTCAGCTTTGGAGCAGTGCCAGTTAAAAGCCAGCAGGGCACAAGGAGGCGAGCATACAGAGCAGGATGCAGCGGGAAGGTCAGATAAGGTGAAGAAGGGCAGCTAGGGTAAAGGGTGGGTAGGGACAGAGGCGGGGTAGAGGGGCAGGCAGGAGTATATCAGCAGCACGAACCCACTCACGATTCTCAAAGTAAAACTTATGGAAATCCATCCCCTCCACGAGGTTACCAAGGGCTTCTGGCTCAAAGGAAGTGAGGCCCGGGTCACAAATCTTCCTGCAGAAAAGAGGGCCGGGGGTGGGATGGGGGGGCAAAAACACAGCCTGTCAGGCCTCTATGGGAACCATGTGCCTTCTTCATCAGTTGTGTCTGTCCCATAGAAGGTTAGCTATTGGCTACACCTGACAAGACAACAACACTCTGGAGTTTGCCTGCAGAGCCACTCAGCTGTCCTGTTCTTTCTCCCATGTCAGGATAATAGGGCAGGCTCTGTTGTGGAGTCTACCTGGAAGGGATCCTAGCCTATGGGCTTAGGGTTTGACTCAGACATGGCTTACAGTCCAATCTGCCCTTTCCCCAGGATCACAGACACTTTTTGGGAAATAGACGTGGACTTGTGAGATAATCAACATCTCAAGGCAATGGGTCTTTACTTACGTGTAGGCCTCAAAGTCCCCATTGTTGATGGCTTCGATCAGTTGTTCTGTGATCTTAATGATCTCCTGTTTTCGCACTGGTAGGGGAAAAAAAAAAATCAACCAATTTACCTGCTGGGCAATTTCCCAAAAGACAAGAGAGCCCTACTCAGTCCTTCGGGGATCCCTTGTGATCTCCTTGTCAAAGACATCCTCCTGTCTTTTAAGACCCTGTGCAGGAAGAGTAAGCACACCCTTCACCCCATCCCTTTTGGCATCTGCAGAACCAGGGACTACCTCCTTTCTAAGCCCATCTGGTCAACTGGCACAAGGTGGCCTTTACCACCTTCTCCATCAACAACCACAACCATGTTGCAGAAAACTTTTTGTTTTTAACAGCTGTGGAGCCTGTCATGTCTCGAACCTTCTTGTGAGTCTGGGTATTCTATCCTTAGCAGGTTTAGACTCTCTGAGAAGCAACTCTAGGTATGGTTACTCTCTGTCTCTAACCAGTTACTTCTCTTATCACAAGGGGCTCAGTCAGGTCACAGTTACTACCCCACTTGTAGCCCGTATTCTGTAGTCCATAACTTAAGCCTTGGATACCTGCTTTGAGAGCAAAATCAAGCTACAGATGAAGTTCCAAAAGAATGAACAGAATGCTACGGTTGATGCTTAGTCCTCTCCATGGGGCTTTTCTGGGATAAAGGATCTCGGGACTGTGAAAACCTTTGACAGCCTCTCACGCAAGATATGGCTACACTGCCCTCGGATAAGCTTCAGAAAAACCAGAAACCTACACCAGTTCTCATGTCAGGATGTGTTCCTATGGAAAATCAAGGCAAGACTGAGAGGCAGGTAGTTTGGTGCCCTTCTTCCCTACCTAAAGGACACATGGTGACATCCTGCTCTCTGGGGTAGCCCACGTACAAACAGAGCCACTATTAGCAAGGGGTGTCTCTAGCATAAGGGCAAGCTTGGACTGAGTTCAGGCTAACCCTGACTGTAAATGGAGCCCCAGGCTGGTCCAGGCCACAAGCCACAAGCCTTTCCTCAGAGGTGCAAAAGGCTGCAAGACAGACAAATTTAAGCATTAGAACAGTTCCAGCATGGCATAGCTGGGCCAGCACAGCCCAGGGGAATATCTGGGAGGGAACAGCATAGGGCTAAAGGTGCAGCCAGGAGGGAACTCCACAGAACACTGACAGGTGGGCCCTGAGTGAACCACTAGTAGCTAGACTAGCCTTGAACTTAAAGGAGACTCTTCAGCTTTAGTTGCAGCCTCCTGAGTGAACAAGCAGAGGGATTTAGGGAAGCCAATGAGCTCTATTCTCTCCCTGGAGAAGCTAACAGGTATGTCCACACAACACTTCCCCTTGAGTTCCATCAAATTTATCTGGAGGACCTGACTAGGATCCTGTAGGTAAAGAAGACTGGATTTAGAAACTATGTAAGGATACAGTGTGGGGCAAAGAAACCAAGAAAGGCATCCTTTAACACAGACAGAACTACAGACATAAACATGAATCTCAGGAACCCTGCCAGCTATTGTGGTTGAGGTAGGGACCCCCCCCACCCCAACAAGCCCTACTTAACAGAGAGGGAATTGAAGCTCTAGGAATCTCAGGCACTTCACAGACTTTTGAAGGTAGCATAGCTGGAATTTATGTTTCTTTTTGAGACAGGGTCTCATTGTGTAGCTAGACTAGCCTTGAACTTAAAGGAGACTCTTCAGCTTTAGTTGCAGCCTCCTGAGTGCTAGAATTATAATTGCGTAACACCACACTTAGCTAATATTCAAAATCACATCTGTCTCATTCAGAGCCCATGATCTTAATATGGAAATGCTAAATAAACCCTAAGACAATTCCTAGGCCGTTGCAATGCACCACTGTCCTTATTCCCACCCTCATGGCCCTGACTTCTCATGGTTTTCCCCGGCTGTTGCCAAAGCAAGACCTGCTACACATCCCAGTGGCTTCTACTCCCCACTTCCACACCATGTTTCCCCACCCGCTCTTCTCTTCTCTGGGCTCCAAACTGAGACCTGCAGGGGCCTAGGCCTCCAGCAGGCCCCCGCCCTTGGCAGACACCATGCCCCTATAGCTGACTAACAGGTAGCTGGGCTAGGCTGACCAGCTCTTGGGGAAATCCCTGAGGGGCTTCAGGAAGAGCCAGGGAGTTGGAAGCCAGAATGTGCCTCCCTCACACTTACTGGCTGAGGAGCAGAGAGAAGGCTGGGGCTGCATGCCTGCAGAGGGGGCTGTTCTGTCCCGGGGGCTCCGTCCTTCGGGCACCAAGCTGCCATTCCCAGTGCGGAGCGGGGCAGCTAGCCAGCCAGGGCAGGGCAGGGCAAGGCAGAGCAGCCAAAACAAACAGAATAAGGCAGGTGAGCGAGCAAGCCGGACAGGACCCAAGCCACTGGCACTGCAGAGCCGGGGCAAGGTGATGCCTGGGGCTGCTGTGGACACTGGACCACATCCCACTCAGCTGCCTCTGCCAGAGAGGCCTCCCAGCTGGGAACACTGCCAAGATGCATAGACCTAGGCTTGCAGCTTCCAAAGGAGCCTTAAAACAGCCTACACAAGGACCCCTGCTCCCAGAGCAGACATTCAGGAGAGGCTAGGTCGTGAGGCCATGAGGCCAGCAGTGAAGATGCCTTTACTCTGTCAGCAGCGAACTAATCTGACCTCACTCCCAGCAGCATGCTAACACACATACATGCTTTCAGTGCTTTTGGCTCCCTAGGGTATGGTCCTGTCTTTTCTGATGACCTGGCAGAAGGTCACTTGTTGAAAGCAAAAGTACAAGTTCCAAGAGGCCACCCCAAGGATCAGGAAGGGATTCCCACTGGTCTGGCCTCCATGTTCCTTATAGCTCCTGGCGTTCTGACCAGTCTCAAATTTAGGGTAGTGGTCATCACAGACTAGAAAGACATCTGAATGTAGCTTCAGACACCAGATCAGTTCTAATTCTGTCACTCCTGGCCAGAACTCAGGACCAGAGTAGCCAACTCATCCCAAGCAGTCTGGGGCTGTCCTTGGGTTTTTTGTTTTGTTTTGTTTTTGTGTGTTTTTTGAGGGGAGAGGTACTGGCCCAGGCAAGTGTTCTACAACTGATTTGTACTACAACTCTTTGTCCTCATTTTATAACTCCAAGTTCTACATCCTAAGAATTACCCTGGTCTCGGGAAAACCAGGACCTATTTCTGCAGATGCCTCTGCTCTGGGATGCTCCATCACTATCCACAACAGGAACAGTTCTCTAAATGTTGGCCCTATAAACAGCTAATCTGGCTGTTCTAGACTTTGGGAAAAAAAAAAAAAAAAAGCCTTTTTAGCATGGTCACTAACACCAGATGGGGACCTCATACCTCAGTGCATGGAAAGTAGCTTTCAGCTCAAGCCCTCTTATAGTGTAAGGAGGCAGCAATCCTTCCTTACAGAAAAGACAGATGCCCCATCAATGTTGAAGAAGTACCTGGATCACTGTTGGGGTCCCTTCCCCTCCAAGGGCCAGCACCTACCTTTGAGGTCTTCATCTTCTGTAGTGGTGTTACAGCTCTCTGTGGAGCCCTGCGGACCAAAGGGAACACGAATATGATCAGCCCTTGGACACTTGGAGGAAGAGGAACAAATGGGTTCCTACAAGAGGTGCCCAGAGGAACCTGAGAAGCTCCTGCTTCTACCCTCGCTCCTTGATCAGAAAACTCTACAGGTCCCAATGTCCTTCCTTCCTAGGCTTTCCTCATCAGGAAAACACACCACCTAATCACTCACGCTGCAGCTAAGAATCATCCTTCATTCTTCTCTTTCTCTTATATCCCCATCAGTCAGTCCAAAACAAAATTCAGCATTCTGCCTTTAACATAAATCCAGTGGCTTACTTCTCTGCTGATGTACAGCTGGCTACCATCTGTCCAGGCTACTAACGTCTCATACTCTAGCTCTCCTTCCTGCCACCCTTGCCTTCTCCTTGGAGTTTGTGTCTATAATGTGTGAACTTAGAAAATACAACCAGATTTTATTTCTCATCTGATAAGAAACTACCAGTAGCTTCTCTTTGCTGCTGGGATAACTGTAAACCATACTGACAGATACGGTGGTGCACACCTTTAGTCCCAGCACTCGGGAGGCAGAGGCAGGTGGATCTCTGTCAATTTGAGGCCAGCCTGTCTACATACTGAGTTCCAGGTCAGCCAGAGCTACATAGAAACAAACAAGTAAACCATACTGAAAACCCTGCCTGCTCCTCCAACTTCTTGACTCCCCTATTCCTTTGTCCCTTGCTCACTAAGCTCAGCTCTCCTTGGTTCTTTCAGGCATTACCCAGGCCAAGTCCTCTGCCTGGCAGCCTGCCTGTCTGCCTTCTTCCCACTGATGTTTCATTTCTAGCTCAGATATCCCCTCCTGAGAGGCCATTCCCTAACCACTTAATTAAAGGCCCTGTTCACTCTCTTTACTTTGTGCCACTTTCTTCCAAGTACTTATCACTATTGGATTTTATCTTATTTGATTATTGGTATGTTATCCACTGGGTCTGCCCCACCCCCCAAAATGGAAATTTGTTTTGTACTATATATATAGCAGAGCCATGGCAATTAGTAATTAGTAAAAATGCAGGAGTGGGAGGTTATACTAAGGAGAATGCTGCACGGTCTGGTTATGTTCTTGCCCTTTTGGATGGATGTGTGTGTGTGTGTGTGTGTGTGTGTGTGTGTGTGTATGAATGGGTGTGAGTAGACTTGTGGTGTGCATGTATGAATGGGTGTGAGTAGGCTTTTGGTGTGTATGCATGAATGGGTGTGAGTAGGGTTTTGGTGTGTGGTTGTGTATGTATGAATGGGTGTGAGTAGACTTGTGGTGTGTATGCATGAATGGGTGTGAGTAGGGTTTTGGTGTGTGGTTGTGGATGTATGAATGGGTGTGAGTAGACTTGTGGTGTGCATGTATGAATGGGTGTGAGTAGACTTGTGGTGTGCATGTATGAATGGGTGTGAGTAGACTTGTGGTGTGCATGTATGAATGGGTGTGAGTAGACTTGTGGTGTGCATGTATGAATGGGTGTGAGTAGACTTGTGGTGTGCATGTATGAATGGGTGTGAGTAGACTTGTGGTGTGCATGTATGAATGGGTGTGAGTAGACTTGTGGTGTGCATGTATGAATGGGTGTGAGTAGGGTTTTGGTGTGTGGTGTGCATGTATGAATGGGTGTGAGTAGACTTGTGGTGTGTATGTATGAATGGGTATGAGTAGGCTTTTGGTGTGTGGTATATATGTATGAATGGGTGTGAGTAGGGTTTTGGTGTGTGGTGTGCATGTATGAATGGGTGTGAGTAGGGTTTTGGTGTGTGGTGTGCATGTATGAATGGATGTGAGTAGACTTTCGGTGTGTGGTGTGCATGTATGAATGGGTGTGAGAGCACACACAGAGGCCAGGGACTGACGCTGTTTTCTTCAAAATTTCTCTCCACTACACTTACTGAGGCAAGGACTCCGGCTGAACCCAGAACTTTCTAATTTGGTTAGTCTAACCAGCCAGATTGTCTGGGAGGTTCTGTTTCTACCTCCTACATGTTGGGACTGTAGGTGTGCCACCATGTGAAGCTGGTTTTTATGTGGGTTCTGGAAATCTGAACTCCAGTCTTCATACTTGCTCAGTAAGTACTCTGTCTACCAAGTTATCTCCAAAGCTTTGTCCTTTGTTCCCTTCCTAACATTTCTCCTCACTAAACTTGTTTATTTTGGGTTTTTTGTTTGTTTGTTTTTTGAGACAGGGTTTCGCTGTGTAACCTTGGTTATCTTGGAACTCACCCTGTAGACCAGGCTGGCCTCGAACTCAGAGATATCTGCCTGCTTCTGCTTCCTGAGTGCTGGGATTAAAGACATGTGCCACCACCACCCAGCTCTCACTAAACTTTTTTTTTTTTTTTTTACTATTCACTATACTTTTACTATTGTTTTTTATGTGCATTGGTGTTTTGCCTGCATGAGCATGTCAGGTACCCTGGAACTGGAGTTACAGACAGTTGTGAGCTGCCATGTGGGTGTTGGGAATTGAATCTGGAACCTCTGAAACAACAGCCAGTGCTCTTAACTGCTGAGCCATCTCTCCAGCTCCCTTATTAAACTTAACTCATGGGGGTTTACTAATACTATCCTTAACTTGCAAACGAGAAAGCTATGGTACAGAGTGGTTAAGTGACTTGCTCAGAGGACTAAAGCCAATATTCAGACCAGACCAATCCGATTGTAAAGCCTAGGTTCACAGTCAGTAAGCTCTGCCTTTCCTCAGAATGTAGTAACCAACAGGCCTGTTATTACTTCTAAGCTGGACTCCACAAACACCTGCACCTTGGGGTGCAGAAAAATCCACAGAACTCTTAGACTCCAGCAACTCATTCCTGCTGAAGGAGAAGCAGGCAGATCTGGTGGCCACTCACTCACCTTGATCCCATCTGTAGCATTGTGTACCACGGTGGTTTGTGGTTCCTGTGAGAGAAGATAAAAATTACCCTCCGGATTTGGGGACTTGAGCTCTTCCCTGAAAGATCCCCACACTCTTACCCCTTAGAGACCCTATGATGACCACTGAGGCCTGCCCACCAGCCATCCCTACAAGACAAAATATACTGGCTCAACTAGGGTCCCAGAGCAGTAGGAAACCCAGGATTTAGCTGACGGCACTGGCTGGGAAAGAAAAGCTTGGAAGAGACAGGTTCTCAGGAAGCTGAGAGGACAGGAGCCTCTGTATGTGAATCTTGTTGGGTCTGAGGGTTCTTCCTAGATTGGAGCTCCCGTGGGGCAAATATACAAGAGGGGCTGTGGGATTCAGAGCACAGGTCAGGCCCTGCCAACAGTGTTCATCAAGGGGTGCACAGAAGATGGGCACACGGGGAAAGCAGAAAGATAAAGTCTCCTAGGATGCCCCTTCGGCAAGCTGAGCTTAGGGAAGTGCCCATTTCACCTACCTTCTGCCTTCTCTAGATGGCCCTATGGCACCACACTAGATTGCAAGAGGGTCTACAGGAAGTAGAAGGCATGGCAGGCATGATCGTTTGTCCCTCTTCCCAGTATCCCCTGTGCTAGCTCATTTAGCTGCCAGCACTGGCACAGAGAGCTCCGTGATACACAGTACCCATGGAAGAACCCAGGACAGCTGAACAGAGGGGCTCTCTGGGACCAGAGAAACTTTGGGGAACCCCAGTCCTCCTTTCTGTTCTTGACTATGCAAAGGAGAGGCTGAGGCAGGTTCTACAAGGAGTCCTCTAAGAACTAATGATCAGGAGCCAAGAGAGCTCCTGCCCTCTGCTTTTTAAAACAATTTGCCTCCCAGCCCCCATAGCAGACCCACTGAGGGTGCCAGCTTGGGAGTGGGAGGCCTAACGGACAGCCCTGATCACTCTTTCCCCAACAGCAAAAGGTGCAGGAGCAGTGGTTCTGCCATGCAGGATGGAGCATAGCCAAGCAGGAGAATGAAGGGGAAGGGGCCTGCGGGGCAGCACACAGAGCAGTCTGCTCTATGGAAATCAAAAATGACAAAAGCTGAGGGTCCTAGGGAGGTAAGGTAAGAAGAGGAAGTGGGAAAGGAGCAGGAGGCAGCCAGGGTCAGAGACAGAGAAGCCGTAGTCAAAGGTACCATGGCCGTCTGCAAGGGCGCGGGCTCTTGGGCTGCGCTTACGAGACTGTTTTTGTTGTTGCTCTGTGGCTGAGACAAGAAAACAGATGGTTTAGTTCCTCCAGAGTCACCAACGTTGCTCAGATTTGACTCCCAGACCTCCCTTGTCCCCTGGTCTGGCCGAGAGGTGCTAGGCCTGAGGTGGCAACTGTAAGACTATGCAGATGGGAGCAATGGTTAGAGAGATGGTTTGAGAAAGGGAGAATTTGGGGAGTACCAGAGACCTAGCTCTGGAGGCATCCTCACTGAAGGAATAGCCAAAGACTTGTTTAGAGGCACCGCTCCAGAAATCTCTGCTTACTCCAGGTGCCCTGTCACCCCAGTCACACCAGACCCAAAGACATTCAGGATTTTCTTCCCACATTACAGTGGAAAGGATGGTGACTTAAAGCAGGATAAAACTGAGAACTCTGGCTCCTCTGTGGCCCTTCCCCCAGCACCTGCATTTCCTTTCCCCTTAAAATACCAGCTTGAAGCTTGATATGAAAAGAGGAGAAAGGAAATGAGCAAGAGTACCTGGCCTAGGAGGAAACAGGTGGAATTCAACTTGAAGCATAAATGTAGCCACAGATCTCAGGGCGCAAGACTGCACTCATCTTCCACCTGACAAAATCTTGGACTTCATCAGTTGGAAGTGAGGGCAGAGCTCTGAGGAAGAGCTGGCAAATCTCAATGGTGGTTGTGGCTGTAGTCCCAGTACTCAGTTCCAGCAAAGAACAAGCAACCCAGCAAGCCAATATTCCTAATGGCAACTGCGACCACCAGGGATATTTCCTTGCCTTTTAAAACGCTACAGAGTGGCACAGTCAAGAAGGAGTGTGGAGGGGCTGGAGAGGAAGGAAGGCCAATCTCCAGTGCAGGGAACCACAGCAATGCTCTCTGCCTCTTCCAATTCCCTAAGCCGTTCAGCTCAGTCTCACGTGGGGCTCAGTGGGGTACAGATATGAAGGGGCAGCTTGACCACCTGAGTTCTTCAATAGGCATGGAGACAGGCATGCCTCTAGTCAGAGCATAAATGAAGGTACGCTGATAGCCAGAATGCATTTCTTCTCTCCCAGGACGCACCCAGAATGCATCCAGACTCTTCTACATTTTGTTTGCCCAAGGGCCTCATGGACCAGATCTAAAGCTATATAAGCCCAGCTTGTGGCTGAGATAGCGTCAAACTCAGGGTTAGGCATGGAATCTTGAGTCAACATCAAGTAAGACAAGATGATATTGAAACCTCTAGGCTGGAGAGGAATCCCTGTGGTCTGGGGGTGGGGCTGGGGGTGGGGGATGACATCACAGCAGCTGCTCTCTTGTGTTCCTATCCTGAAACAGCAGAGGGCAGGGCTCTCTTAGCTCAGATACCAACGCTGACTTCCTGGTTGGGGCTGATTGAAGAAGGGCATCCAGCCTGCAAACTCAGTTGACATTAAGACCTCTGCAGTGGATGAGGATGAGTACCCCATGGTAAGACATGCTTTATCTGCAAAGGTCTGAGCTAACACCCAAGTGGCCACACCTCTGGTTATGATGGATGGTTTCAAAATGACTAGGCTGTCGTGTTCCCTTGGTGTCCTGTGTCCCATGAGAAAAGATGCATTTACTATAGTCTTTCAGTGTAGCTGCTCCTCCCACCCCCACCCCAGGGCTGGGTGGGCAGGCTACAACCCTGGGCCTAGCAGGAAAACGGATTTTCACAGAACAAGGTTTAGGGCCAGGAGTCAACCATTAGCTTTTCTCATTACATGGCTGCCTACTAAACGAATGTCAGGCCCCTAGAAAGCAGCTGCTCATGCCTGCAGAAAAGGCCTTATCTCTTGACTGAGGGTAAGATAGGGTCTCTCCTTGTGCTTGCTGCCTTTCCCCCAAAACCCCTACTGGCTTTACTCCCTGCATCGGACTGCTGGAGGCTACTCAACCTCCACAGGGAGGAGTGCCATACCACACCTTCCAATGCCCATTTGAAGGCCACTGGGTGACCTTGGGCAATGGCCCCCGCCTGGCAGGACAGGCCACACCTGCCCACACAGCACAGACATGCAGTGAGGATGAGTGACGCACACGCACATGGCAGAATGGGTCTGCATGGCTGGCAGGCGGGCACAAGCAGCATGGAGTGGGCAGATGGGTGGGCAGGCAAGGCTCACCATTAGGTGCACGCTGGAACTCGACTTCCTTTTCTGGACACACCACAGCAAAAGGGAAAGAGAAGGGGAAAGAGGAGGTAAGAAGAAAGCACAGAGATGCTGCAGGTTAGTGCACCAGCTTGGGCTCTGTGTGAGGGGACAGAGGAGGAAAAGGAGGAGGAAGAGGAGGAACCCTGGAGTCCAGCATCAGAGGGGTTAAAACAGTACACAGACCACAGGCACAGGCACATACACTCTTCCAGCTGCAAGAGAAGAACTCTGTCGGGTTCACAAACACAGAAAATTTAGTGTACCCTGAGAAGTCTGCCTTGTTCAGTCACAAGTGTATTTGGGGAACATTTGACTGCTGCAAAATTACAGGTCTGGGTTGACAGACAGGACCAGCACACTAACAAGGGTACTCACATTCTCTATACAGCTAGGTCTGTCTGAAATGTGAGTGAGTAGCTACCAGAGAAATAACAAAAGCCACTACAGGATGGTCTCAGTTATAATAACATTTGACTTCTGAACTCGGACCTCAATGATGCTGTGAATGCTGTTCAGATAAAGACACTGGACTCTATCTTACATTTAAATTTCGAGCCTCTGTTCCCGGTCATTATAGCCACGCTAGTTTAAAAGACTTGCCTGTTTTATTGCTTTTTGTAATTATCAGAACTAGAAGCATAGGAGAGCTGCTGATTAAGAGTACAGTGACCAAAGATGCAGGGATGGAAGCTGGGGAGAGTGCAGAGAGTCGTAACCAACTCCTTAATCCCTCTCCACTAGACGCTCAGACCTCAGGCTCTGTGTGAAACAAGAGCACCAAATTAAGACCAAACAGCACACCGAAAATACACCAGAGCAGACTAAGAGCTTAGGGTGATTACGACTTTCATAATTAACTCACTGGGAGACAGAAGCACGCTTGGAATATGTCTGTTGTTTGACTTTTGTACATTCACTTAACGACATCCAAACCCACTTACTGAGGGTTGTTCTGGGAAAAATAAACATATCTGGGAAATGGTTTTTGTCCTCACGGGACCAACATTCTACTCTAAGAGATGTTTTCTAGAAGGGGGGCTACTAATATTTAAAAGAATATTTCAGAGGATTAATGGGGTTATGTGGGAGTATGTGTACATGTATGAAAACGTCATACTGAAACCCATTACTATGCATAATTTATATGCAAAACATCAAAAAATAAGTTAGTCCATAATTTGGATTCGAATTAAAGGAAAATAAAAACCTATGGTAGGCTTCTTTTTGTATTAGTCCTTCATTCTGCTTTGGGACAGGGTCTTGCTACATAGTCTGGGCTGACCCTAGACTTGCAACCCTTTGCCCAAGTCTCTTATGTAATTGAATCACAGGTATGTATCACCACACAGGACTTTATGAGCTTTTTCACTGTTTTACAGTAGAGCTTCAAGGAGTTCAGACTGCCTTTGACCAAGCTATGTAGCCAAGAATTAATTTGAACTCCTGATCTTCCTGCCTTCACCTACGTAATTACCATGCTCCGTTTGCATCTCTCTCAAAAGGAGGGAGTCACCTTACATATGTATCTGTCATTGTCACCTATCTAGATACCCTCCCTAGTACTTATCTCCCTATTTAATTATCTTATGCTTCTACCCAAGTAGTATTCCTATTCATTTTTTCTCTTATATAATTTGCCCCCCTCCAGACAGGTTCTCACTGTGGCCCACTGTGGCCTTGAACTTGTGGCATTTCTCTAGCCTCAGCCTCCCAACTACTGGGATCCTAGTGTGAGTCCCTACACCTGTCTACTACAGGTGCTCTGAAGGAAGGGCCATTATCTTACCTGCCTTTGTAAGTTCAAGTGTCCCAACAGAAGCCCTACAGTTTGACATTAGATCAATAAATGTGCCTGGCTGACTAGGTTTGCTGAAGGTGGCTTTCCCCAAGCTAATGTCAACTCTGAGAAGGGACCAGTCACTCATTCCAGGCCTGATCTTGGCTCTGGTGATTTTCAGCAGCTGGTGGTAAAAGGCCGTTGCAGCCATTTTATCTGGACCTTGCATTTAGACGGAAACTTTTCAGCTGCTGCTTCTACCTCATGAGAAGTAAGTTCCTAGCTTTTCTCCTGGATGTTCTGCTGGTTCTGAACAGTCCTACAGGCCAAGCAATCATCCTTTCCACTCTGAGGCTGTTTCCCGTGTCTTTCAGTCTCTGTCCATCTTTTCAGGGCTTTGCCCTCAGGCACACACAGCTGGGCTTCTCAACCAGAACACCATGCCACTGTTTAAATGCCAGATCCCTTTGAAAGGACCATGTCTGACTTCTATCTGAAAACTGTACATAAATTTAAAATTTTACACAATGAAAGGGTTCAGGCCTCTTTTTCATACTCAAAACACTGCTCAAAAAGTTCTTAGCTATAACCTCTGCTTTTTCTTTTTATTTAAAAACAACAACATAAAAACTTGGATGGCCACTATGGCCTGAAACCAGCAGAAGAATGCCAAACTGCCAGAGGCCTCAAAGAATTTGAATGTTTGTGGCCCCCATCAGTCCCGGCCTTCAGAAGTAGAACTCAGCTGGGGAGTGGTGGCACACACCTTTAATCCCAAGCGCCCAGGAGGCAGAGGCAGGCAGAGCTCTGTGAGTTTGGGCCAGCCTGGTCTACAGAGTGAGTTTCCGGACAGCCAAGGCTATCCTGAGACCCTGGGTCACTAGGATCAACCTTCAAAGAATCCTAACAGGACCTCAAGTTCCCCAATTCAAAACCACGGGACACAGCACCCACTCAAACCAACACTAGCTATCTTGGACACCTCAAAGAGACATCTGAACAATGGGAAGGGGACTGTTCAGTGAACAGTCAGCAGAAGAAACCAGGGGAAAGAGCACTGGAAAGGGAAAAGAGATTCTAAAAGAATGTGAACGCTGAAAGCTGGGACCTTCTAAGTGACTTTATAGGATTCCTCACAATTTTGGCCATCAGCTCAAATTTCAAGAGAGCCCACAAAGGTCACACGTCCTACATTTTATCTTCTTGCCTTTTCT